AGACAATGGTGCTCCTAATGTTGTTGCTGCTAATTTGTTGTGCATAGCTTATCCTAGAATCTTTTGGACACCATGTGCAGCACATTGTATAAATCTAGCCTATTATTTCCCCCACAAAAAAAGAAAAAAAGTGGTATTGCACTATAGTTTTTCATTATTTTAATAAAAATCAATAAACATTGTGAATAGATTGTTTTGGGAGGGGGAGAGAATTAAAAGGAGATCACTTTTATTTTAATTTTTTTTATGAAGGATGTAAAATATACAATTTAATTTTAAAAGAGAGCAATAAATTAGGAGAGCATAGAATATTTTGGTAAACAAAAAAAAAAAAAGTTGGATTTGCAATTACCACATAATGCACAAAGAGAGAAAGAATATTGATGAGAGAGAGAGAGAGAGACACGCTCAGAAGAATATTATAGGTAAATTTCTACAAGTGATCTTAAAAGTTTAGGTAACAAGAGCGAGAGAGAGATGTTCACAAGGCAAGGATTTAATAAACATTGTTTACTTTGTTAAGAGTTTAGACTATAGATGAGCAAGAATTGCCAAGGCTCTTTCTTTAAAGGTACATGGGGTTTAATCTCACATCGGGTATTTCTTCTATGTTGTGGAAGGCCAAGAGCTACAAATGGGAGGCAAGGGATTTCACTCACGATGTAGTTTGGCTGATGCTCCTCTTCATGAGTTGAGCATGGGGGCCAGTCACAAAAAGATGTGGGGACTGGTGAAAAAAAATAAACGGATGTAAAATATACAATTTAATTTTAAAAGAGAGCAATAAAGTTAAAAAGAGAGCAATAAATTAGGACAGCATAGAATATTTTGGTAAACAAAAAACCAACCAACCAAAAGTTGGATTTGCAATTACCACATAATGCACAAAGAGAGAAAGAATATCGATTAGAGAGAGAGGGAGACTCGTTCAGAAGAATATTATAGGTAAATTTGTACTAGCGATCTTAAAAATTTAGGCAACAAGAGAGAGAGAGAGAGAGAGATGTTTACAAGGCAATGAGGGATTACGTATTTAGTAAACACTGTTTACTTTGTTAAGAGTTTAGACAATAGATGAGCAAGTGATGGCAAGGCTCTTTCTTTAAAGGTACATGGGGTTTAATCCCACATAGGGTATTTCCTCTAGGTTGTGAAAGGCCAAGTGCTATAAAAGGGAGGCAAAGGATTTCACTCACGATGTAGTTAGGCTGATGCTCCTCTTCGTGAGTTGAGAGTGGGGCCACTCACAAAAAGATGTGGGGATCGGTGAAAAAAATAAAAAGTTGAGAAAACAATGGGTAATAAAAAAGCCTAAT